GTTTCACCATGTTGGCCAGGCTGGTCTCAAACACCTGATCTCAGGTGATCTGCTGTGTCCAGCCAAAGTATTTTTTAGAGCTCACATCCAGGGTCAGTTAGCACTCTTAAAGTCAGCAAAATAAAACTTAATCATAGTAATCAATTTCTCCTCCTGACTTCTCTAGTGATAGTACTGTACTCATTTTTCACCTTATTACTTTTTCTCATTCCCCAAAATTCAATATGCTTCTAGCTCCTCTATTAGTTCCTTAACACCTCTCACATTAATCGCTTTTCTTTTTCCTCTTTTTCAAACAGGGTCTCACTCTGTTGCACAGGCTGGAGAGCAGTGGCCTAATCACAGCTCACTGCAGCCTCATCCTCCCAGGCTCGCGTGATCCTTCTACCTCCCGAACAGCTAGGACTACAGACACACACCACCAAAGCTCAGCTTTGGTTTTTTTTTTTTGTTTATTTTTATTTTGTTTTGTTTTTGGTAGAGACAAGAGTTTATGTTGCCTAAGCTGGGGCTCAAGCAATCTTCCTGTATCTGCCTCCCAAAGTACTGGGATTACAGGTGTGAGCCCCCACACCCAGCCAATCTTTATCTACTAGGTCAAGACCCTGGTCCAGAAGCTCCTTTCTCCTAAGGTTTTGCCTCCTTATCAATCACTTAACTCATATCTCTCCACACTCAGGCACTGCATCAGATAAATCCTCCTGAAGAACAATCATGAGCATAGTTTCTCACTGTTCCCAGGATCAAACTTGTCTAAACTTGGGAAGAAAAAAGTGATAAGCTATGCATAGTTACACAGGCAGCATTTGAATTGAGGTGCTCCTAATTCCTAGAGACTGGTCTCTTCATCAACCAGCCTTGCATGTATCAGTACCACTCAATGCTTTCCAGCCACTATAAAAAAACATTGCTTCATGATCTGTGACATAAAGGAGAAGAAAAAAAAAAATAATGTAACAAAGTACTACACTTTTTTTTTTTTTTTTTTTTTTTGAGACGGAGTCTCACTCTGTCACCCAGGTTGGAGTGCAGTGGCATGATCTCGGCTCACTGCAACCTCTGCCTCCCAGGTTCCAGCAGTTCTCCTGCCTCAGCCTCCGCTGGGACTACAGGTGCACGCCACCACACTCAGCTATTTTTTTTTAGTAGAGAGGGGGTTTCACCATGTTGGTCAGACTGGTCTCAAACTCCTGACCTTGTGATCTGCCAGCCTCAGGCTCTCAAAGTGCTGGGGTTATAGGCGTGAGCAACAGCGCCCAGTATTATTACATATTTCAAAACATAAATGTTCAAGCATGTCTACACTAGACAAAAATCAAAGCAGTCATATGTGCACACCCATATATGGGATCAACACGTGTCCTCAGGCATGCATATCATACCAGGTAACACATTTTCTCAATCTTCATAAACTGAGCTCACTAATCCTCCCCCAAAAGATTAAAAATGAATGGAATGTCTTAATGCAGCTTCAACTACCATCTCCAAACAAAGAAAGCTCACAAACATATCTCTCTCAACATGTCTCAGCTACTTTTACTGATTAGAAAATAATGACTTAGATGTCCTGGCAAACACCTTCAATTCAACATATGAAAAGCATCTTACTCTACAACCTGCCTTTCCTTCTAACTATTCCAATTTCTATCAATGGATCCCAGTTACAGGGTTAGTCTGTAAGACACTTTCCATTATGCCTGTTTCCCTTAACCTGGTAAACATTTATCACACAAATGAGACACTTTTAAGAGAAAAAGAGATGTCAGGCATGGTGGTTCATGCCTGTAATCCCAGCACTTTGGGAGGCTGAGGTGGTAGTACTGCCTAAGGCCAAGAGTTCAAGACTAGCCTGGGCAACACAGTGAGACACCTGTCTCTAGAAAAAAATTAATAAATTAGCCAGGCATAGTGGTGCACACCTATAGTCCTAGCTACTCCAGAGGGTGAGGTGAGAGCATCACTTGAGCCCAGGAGTTTGAGGCTAAAGAGAGCCATTATCATACCACTGCACTCCAGCCTCGGTAACAGGGCAAGATCTTGTCTCAAATAAGTAAGGAATAAAAGGGGGTCCTTATTAAGAATTAAGCATAGGCTGGGCGCAGTGGCTCACACTTGTGATACCAGTAATTTAGGAGGCCGAGGCGGGCAGATTGCTTGAGGTCAGGAGTTTGAGACCAGCCTGGCCAACATGGGGAAGTCTTGTCTCTACTGAAAAAAAAATTACAAAAATTAGCTGGTCATGGTGGCATACACTTGTAGTCTCAGCTACTCGGGAGACTGAGGCAAGAGAATTACTTGAATGCGGGAGGTGGAGGTTGCAGTGAGCCAAGATTCCACCACCGCACTCCAGCCTGAGCGACAGAGTAAGACTCTGTCTCAAAAAAAAAAAAAAACAAAAAAAAACTAAGTGTAGACAAAAGGCAAACTGAGATGTCTGATCACCATACTTATGAAGAGCTCACATAATAGGGAAAAAATTCTCAAGTAGAAGTAAGGAAATTTGAGTTCTATTCCTGGTTCTGCTGCTATTAACAGCTTCCTGTCTTTAACCAATTTTCTGGCCTTTAGTGCTTTCATACATAAACTGAGAAAACTAGGACTGGTGTCTACGGCCCCTTACAGCCTCTAGTGCATATGTATCTGTGAGCAGGATCAACTCACACAAAAGGGAGATCCTTAGACAGGCAATGAGGAAGGAGGAAAGATAGGTCAGAAAACAGGAAGGAACTTGAGGCAACCCAAACGCTTCGAACCAGAAGTCTGTGAGGCAATGGTGTGTATGACTTCCAGTATTCATGTATCCTTTCCATTGATCTTTTAATTTTTTACTTTTGGCTTTGTAACTCATACATGGTTAGTAGAAAATGTATAAGTGAAAATAAAGAAACAGGCAGCCGGGCGCGGTGGCTCAAGCCTGTAATCCCAGCACTTTGGGAGGCCGAGGCGGGTGGATCACGAGGTCAAGAGATCGAGACCATCCTGGTCAACATGGTGAAACCCCGTCTCTACTAAAAATACAAAAAATTAGCTGGGCATGGTGGTGCGTGCCTGTAATCCCAGCTACTCGGGAGGCTGAGGCAGGAGAATTGCCTGAACCCAGGAGGCGGAGGTTGCGGTGAGCCAAGATCGCGCCATTGCACTCCAGCCTGGGTAACAAGAGTGAAACTCCGTCTCAAAAAAAAAAATAAAATAAAATAAAAATAAAAATAAAGCTCTTTCCTTGCCTAACGCAGCCATGGCTCGTGGTCCCAAGAAGCATCTGAAGCGGGTGGCAGCTCCAAAGCATTGGATGCTGGATAAATTGACCGGTGTGTTTGCTCCTCGTCCATCCACCGGTCCTCACAAGTTGAGAGAGTGTCTCCCCCTCATCATTTTCCTAAGGAACAGACTTAAGTATGCCCTGACAGGAGATGAAGTAAAGAAGATTTGCATGCAGCGGTTCATTAAGATCGATGGCAAAGTCCGAACTGATATAACCTACCCTGCTGGTTTCATGGATGTCATCAGCATTGACAAGACGGGAGAGAATTTCCGTCTGATCTATGACACCAAGGGTCGCTTTGCTGTACATCGTTATTACACCTGAGGAGGCCAAGTACAAATTGTGCAAAGTACGAAAAATCTTTGTGGGCACAAAAGGAATCCCTCATCTGGTGACTCATGATGCTCGCACCATCCGCTACCCTGATCCCCTCATCAAGGTGAATGATACCATTCAGATTGATTTGGAAACTGGCAAGATTACTGATTTCATCAAGTTTGACACTGGTAACCTGTGTATGGTGACTGGGGGTGCTAACCTGGGAAGAACTGGTGTGATTACCAACAGAGAGAGGCACCCTGGATCTTTCGATGTGGTTCATGTGAAAGATGCCAATGGCAACAGCTTTGCCACTCGACTTTCCAATATTTTTGTTATTGGCAAGGGCAACAAACCATGGATTTCTCTTCCCCGAGGAAAGGGTATCCGCCTCACCATTGCTGAAGAGAGAGACAAAAGACTGGCAGCCAAACAGAGCAGTGGGTGAAATGGTCCCTGGGTGATATGATAGATCTTTATGCGTAATTAAAAATCATGTGGCATGATTAATAGCAAAAAAAAAATAAAAAAAAAATAAAAAATAAAAATAAAAATAAAAATAAAATCAACAAAAATCTCAATACCAGCAATGATCACTAGTGTTTTTAAGTTTGGTATAAACGCTTCCAAACATTTTTCCATGCAAATATATAAATGTACTTTTAATGTGATAAAACAGTTGTGTAGCCAATTTACATAAGAACATATTCACCATATTCATATCAATAGGCATAGTCATTTCATCACTTTTAATGGCAGCTTAGTACTCCATATCATGGATGTGCCACAATTGTTTCACTAAGTCCTTTTCAAATTACAATCTTTCATGAATATATATATACAATAAATACATACATATCTTACAAATATACCTCGTGGTCTTGTCCCAATAGTGCCTTACAGTAAGTTCCTTGAAGAATGACTGCCAGGTCAAGGGTAGGGGCTTTTTTTCAGTGTATATTAACTGTCTGGCCTCCATAAGTTATCCGCCCAAGGAGTATATTACAAAAGAATGGTAATTTAAGAACTGAATATTTCTCTAAAGCAGTATTCAAGATACCTAATGCTAAAAATAATCTCCACATTTCACTACATACCATCTTATGACTCTTTTTTCATGACCCATGATACTCACATGTCAGAAGCTAAGAATTTAAAATATAAAGCCACTATTTTTCTTCAGGGAACTTATTACCATGCTACAGATCTTAAATGAAGTTTCTGTACTTCTACTGCATCACAGTACTAAGAGATGCTCTTCTACAGTATGTACAAAAGAGAAGATACTTTCACTTATTTAAGTACTTTTAAGATCTATGCACAAAGTACTACTATCATGTAAAATTCAAAATCTTTTGCTATTTTCAAATAGGAACAATTAGTCGGATGTATAGTAATTATCAAGAAGCAGATTACCCACAGAATTTTCAGGTTTTCTTCAGATCTCCTCGTGGCTTGACCTAATTTAACAATAGACAATGTAGAGCAGTAGAGCTATTTAGGCATGGAGTAACTACATGACAATGCCTAACTCTGTGACAGCACACAAATGACAACAAAAAACAATGCTCAGATAACTCAGGAGTCTTTTTCCTTCCTCTGCTGTTGAATGCAAAAAACAAAACTGACTATATAGGCAACAGAAGGAATTGAGCTGTCATCAAATAAAAATTAGGTTTGAGAACAGAGCTGAGGAAAGTCCCAGCTCTATTGTTCAGTCAGCCTGGTCACTTTCAGCAAATCAATTTAACTCCATGCACTCATGTTTCTCACCATTAAATCATGCACTGCTCTATCACCTACTTCAAAGCTATCATGAGAATTAATTAGTCATAGTCAATAAAAGCATATCACATTCCTTAGAACATTATAATAATATTCATGAATTCTAAAAAAATTTCTAGAAAGACCGGGTGAGTGAAATAAGATACACTTGCTTAATTTAAGAAGATTAAATTTAAAAGGCAGGAAAACATCTAGGTTTTTAGATGCTTAGTTACTCTGCCTCACTGAAAAGGTCTAATACTGTATATAAATAATATTAATATGATTTCTAGAACAGATTTCAAAAGAAGAAAGTGCAGAAAGGGGTGTAGGAAGCATAGGAAAATGAAGACAGTGAGGGAGAAAACTTTTTTTTACAACATACATAGTGCCTTTCCTAGGAAGTGCCCCTTCCCTCCCACCTTAATGAATGTCACAGTAGACATGATAGTGTTCTCCATAAAAATATTGAGAGGATGGCCCAGGGCCAATGTGGGAAAAAAAAGAAAAGGTAGAAAACCACTGGGGCAAAATAGTAACATTCATATTGAAATACTGATTTTATAAGAGGAAGAAACTTTTAAGCAAGAGAGAAGATAATTATTCACTTAAAATTAATGTAAGTGGATAGTAGAAAAAGAGTCTGAAAAGCCGAGTTTTTCATCCATCTCAATAAAGAGCTACAAAATCAATCTTTAACAGAATGGAAAAAAACAGCTAAACAATAGACATTAAAGAAACAAAAAATTTAAAAATAGGGTTTTTGTAAATGCCAAAAGTTGGTTTATTTGAAAAGACTACTAAAAGTTCTATGTCCCAAGTAGGACATATTAACAAATAAAGAGAGGCATTTCTCCTTCAGGCCAAAATACAGCAATAAAAATTACCCCCCTGCTTTAGACAAGCAAGACACACTGGATGCCAGGCGATGAAGGACAGAGATCCCTGAAAATCAGGAGAGAGAGGCTCAGTTGTACTATTATCCAAGTTTACTGCGTGATACAGATTCCAGGCTTCTCCACTGGTAGGAAGAATCCAGGCAAAACCTGGAGGACAACTTCCTGAACTGACATGAAAGTGAGAGCCAATGGAGACCAAGGCAGAACAGAGAAATGGAGAGAGAAGAGATAAGGAGTCCAGAGATCTGCAGAAGACCCACTTCAAGAATTCAGCAGGGTACTGATAAGCACATGAATGTGAGGTAATTATCGAAAACCAGGGGAAAAACATCCCAACAGTATGCACATCTGGCCAGATGTCACTCTAAGCCTATACAGGTTTCCACCATCCATGCTTAAAAAACTTATTTCACTCGCATGGTGCTGAGTACAAATCAGGAAAACCGTGCCTGAATAGTGGAGAATAATTAGTCCTACAATGAGTACTGCTTCAAATGTGCCTAATAAGCTAACTGCAGATCAGACAATGCAGAAAAATGATACAAAAACATAATGATATGTTCTATACATACATGAAATTGAGTAATTTCATTTTCAATAGCATCTAAAAGAAAAAAATACCTAAAAATAAACTTAACCAAGGAAGTGAAAGACTTATACACTGAAAACTACAAATCATTACCAAAAACAAATTTCACCTAAATAAAGAGACATTTATGTCCACAGGAAGGAAGACTTACTATCACTAAGCTATCAATACTATTCGATGTCTTTTATAGATTCAATGCAATCCCTATCAAACTCTCAATGATTTTTCTGCAGAAACAGAAAAGCCCAGGAGTTTGAGATTACAGTGAGCTGCGATCATACCACTGCACTACAGCCTGGGCAACAGACCAAGACCTTCTAAAAAAAAATAAGCAAAGAATAAAAGGGAGGTCCTCATGAAGAATTAAGGATCAGCTGGGTGCAGTGGCTCGCGCCTGTAATCCCAGCACTTTGGGAGGCCGAGGCGGGGGAATCTTGACTCCTGAGGTCGGGAGTTCAAGACCAGCCTGGCCAACACGGCAAAACCCCACCGCTACTAAAAATACAAAAATTAGTTGGGGCCGGGTGCAGTGCCTCACGCCTGTAATCCCAGCACTTTGGGAGGCCGAGGCGGGTGGATTACGAGTCAGGAGATCAAGACCATCCTGGCCAACATGGTGAAACCCCATCTCTATTACAAATACAAAGATTAGCTGGGCATGGTGGCACACGCCTGTAGTCCCAGCTACTCGAGAGGCTGAGGCAGCAGAATCACCTAAACCCAGGAGGTGGAGGTTGCAGTCAGCTGAGACTGTACCACTACACTCCAGCCTGGTGACAGAGCGAGACAGCGGAGGCTGCAGTGAGCTGAGATCCCGCCACTACACTGCAGCCTGGGTGACAGAGTGAGCTCCATCTCAAAAGAAAAAAAGAATTAAGGATCACTTCAAATTCTCGTGGAATTGCAAAGGACACCAAACAGCCAAAACAATCTTGAAAAATCACAAAATTGGAAAATGCACACTTCCTGATTTCAAAACTGCAAAGCTACAGTGATCAAAACAGTGTGGTACTGGCATAAGGATAGACATATACCAATTGAATAGAAAAGAAAATTTCAGGAATAAGCCATGTATGGCCAACTTAAGAGTGCCAGAAAAGAATGGTCTCTTGAACAAATGGTGTTGCAGCAACTAATTTTTCACATGAAAAGAATAAAGCTGGAACCCTACTTCACACCATATATGAAAATTAACTCAAAGGGATTAATGGCTTACATATAAGAGCTAAAAAACATAAAACAGAGATAAATCTTGGATTTAGTAATAGATTCTTGCATATGACACTAAAACTACAAGAAAAGAGAGAGAGAAGTTGGGCTTCCTCAAACTACAAACTTTTAAAATGAACCAAAGACCCATCATTAAACTTAAAACTATAAAACTCTTAAAAGAAAACATAGGGCAAAAGCTTCATGGTATGAATTTGGCAGTGATTTCTAGGATACGACATTAAAAACCCAAGCAACAAAGTAAAAATAGACACACTGGACTTTATGAGAATTTAAAACTTCTGTGCATCAAAGGACACAATCAGTGGAATTAAAAGGGAGGGTGGCAGCGGCCACAGCTCGGGTCCCCCTTGGGTGCCCCCGTCACCATCCGTGAAAAAAAAAAATTAAAAAAAATAAATAAATGGTAACCTACAGAATGGGAGAAAATTTGCAAATCATCTATCTGATAATGGAGTGTCTCAGTCCATTTTGTGCTGCTACAATAGAATACCACAGACTGAGTAATTTATAATGAAAAGAAATTTATTGGCTCACTGTTCTGGGGGATGAGAAGTTCAAGACAGAGAAAACGGCATCTGGCCAGTGCCTTCTAGTTGTGTTATCCCATGGGAGAAGGCAGAAAGACAAAAAAGAGACAAAAGGGAGACAAACTCATTATTTTACAAGGAATCTATGCCCAGGATAACAAAACTCACTGCATTAATCCATTAATTAAGGGCAGGGTTCTCATAGCCTAATCATTTCTTAAAGTTCCCATTTTTATTTTTACTATTATCTTTGAATAACCCTGGCAGTCCCACCTCTTAATACTATTACAATGGCGATTAAGTTGCAACGTGAGACACTGACACCACAGCAGGGAGTTAATATCCAGAATATATGCATAAAGAACTTTTACAACTTAACAATAAACACAAAAAGCAAATAACCCACTTTAAAAATGGGCAAAGAGGCTGGCTTATGCCTATAATCCCAGCACTTTGGGAGGCCAACACGAGTGGATCACTTGAGCCCAGAAGTTTGAGATCACCCTGGATAATATGGCAAAACCATGACTCCACAAAAAATACAAAAATTAGCTGGGCGTGCTTGGTATGCCTATAGTCCCAGCTACTTGGGAGGCTGAGGTGGGAGGATCACCTGAGCCTGGAGAGGTTGAGGCTCCAGTGAGCCATGATCATGCCACTGCACTCCAGCCTGGGCAAACCTTGAGGACATTATGCTAGGTGAAATAAGTCAACTACAAAAAGATAAAATACCATATGATTCCATGTATATGAGGTGTCTAACATAGTCAAACTCACAGGAACAGAAAGGGGGCGGTGGTTGTCAGGGAATGGGGGGGTGGCAAAAAATGGAAAGTTGTTTCACGGGTATAGAATTTGTTTGGAAAAAAAAGTTCTGGAAATCAACTGCACAACAACGTAAATATATTAACACTACTAAAGTCTACACTAAGAATGGTTATAATGGTAACTTTTTTGCTATGTGTATGTTACCACAATTAAACAATTTTTTTAAAAAAATCAACGTTTTTCTATATACTGGCAACAAACAATTTTGAATTTAAATTAAAAAAATTTATTTATGTAGTGATACCATTTACAATAACGTCAAGAAATATGAAATGGAATCATCTGACAAAAGATGGGAAAGACGTGTCAACTGAAAACTACAAAACTCAGCTGAAAAGAAATTGCAGATCTAAAATAAATGGAGAGATACTACATTCATGCATCAGAAGACTTGATCAATTTTTCCCAAACAGATCTTCGGGGCAATGGAATACCAATGAAAGTCCCAAAAAGCTTTTTTGTGAAAACTACCAGGCTAATTCTAAAATGCAAAGACCCAGAATCACTAAAACAACTTTCAAAAATAACAAGATTAGGAGACTAACTCTGCTAGTTTTGAAGTCTTATAAACCTCCAGTAATCAAGACTGCATGGTACTTACGTAAAGACAAATACATCGAAGAAACAGAATAGAGTTCAGAGACTGATTGATATATGGACAACTGATTTTGTCATACAAAAGCAACTCAGTGAAGAAAAAGGTATTTTCATATTTTCAGCAAATGAACAACTGATTATCCATAAGCAAATAATTTCCGTCCATATCTTACACCATCTAAAAAATTTAACCAAAATGGAACAGAAACCCAATTGTAAAACCTAAAACTGTAAAACTTCCAAAAATATAGAAAGAAGTTCCTATGATTTGGGATTAGGCAACAATTTCTTAAATATGAAACCAAAATCCTGATCTATAAAAGAAACTGATAAATTTCATCAAAATTTAAAACTCCTGTTCTTCAATACACTGCTGAGAGAATGAAAAGATGAACCACAGACTAGAGAGAATGGATTTGCAAACCATTTGACAAGGGACTTGCATCCCAAATGTATAAAGAACAGTCAAAACTCAAATACAAGAAAACAACCAACCAATAACAACAACAACAACAACAAAAATAGCCGAAAGACAAGAACAGATATTTTGCCAAAAGGGATATACAGATGGCATATAAGCTTAGGGAGGATGGGCATGGTGGCTCACAGCTGTAATCCCAGCACTTTGGGAGGTTGAGGCGGGAGGACTACTTGAATCTTGGAGCTTGAGACTAGTCTGGGCAACACAGCAAGACCCCATCTCTACAAAAAATTTAAAAGATTAGCTGGGCATGGTGGCATAAGCCTGTAGTCCCAGGCTACTCGAGAGGCTGAGGTGGGAGAATTACCTGTGCCCAGGAGGTCTGGGCTGTAATCCCAGGTACTCAATCAGTGAGACAAGATGGTCCCACTGCACTCCAGCCTGGGCAACCAAAGTGAGACCATGCTTTAAAAAAAAAAAAAAAAAAAAAAAATACTGAATACCACTAGCCATAGAGAAGCACAAATTAAAAGAACAATGAGACATCACTAAAGACCGATTAGAAGGGCTAAAATTGGCCAGGTGTTGGTAAGGACATGGATGAACTTGAATTATCAAACAGTGCTTGTTGCAATGTAAAACTGTATAATTACTTTTAAAATAATTAGTTTGGCAACTTATTTTATTTTTTTTAAAGACATGGTGTCACTATGTTTCCCAGGCTGGTCTCAAACTCCTGGGCTCTGGCAATCCTGCTGCCTCAGCCTCCCAAAGTGCTAGGATTACAGGTGTGAGCCACCACGCCCAGCCTAAGAATCTCTTTTCTCGATAAATTCCCCAGCTTCAGGTATTCCTTTACAGCAATGCCAACAGCTAACACATACCTCCCTTTTCTAGAATAAAATGACCTCTTGGAGTAAATACTGGATTCTTCCTTATTTTTCATATTATTACATCTCTTTGCCAGTATCTTTTTTCTAGTCAATATACGTCTTTGCCAAACAAGGTGGAAAAAAGTTGTCAGGCCAGGAACAGTGGCTCAAACCTGTAATCCCAACACTCTGGGAGGCTGAGACAGGAAGATCACTTGAGCCCAGAAGTTTGAGACCAGCCTGAGAAACAAAGCAAGACTCCATCTCTATATAAAAAAAATTAAAAACAAACAAACAAAAAAAGCGAGGCATGGTGGCACACATCTGTAGTTCCAGCTACTCAGGAGGCTGAGGTTGAGAGAACTGCTTGAGCCCAAGAATTTAAGGTGGCAGTGACCCATGATCGGTCACTGCATCCCAGGCTGGATGACAGAGCAAGACCCTATCTCAAAAACAAAAAACAGAAAACAACAACAACAAAAAGTTGTCAGAGGGACAGACTTGCCTGTGATTACTAGCAGTATCTAAGAACCTGAAA